GTGAGGAAACTTTGGATTTGATAAAGTTGGTTTCTTTATGGCACAACATTTCAGAAAATTTTGTGTGCCACGATGTATTATGACACTTTAAGAGGAAGATGGCTAGACCATGGTGGTCCCAAATTTTGGGGGGTCGGGGGTGGGGCTAGAACCCCTCTTGTGCCGATTATTTCATTGGGCTAGTTTTTTCTTTCTTTAGTTCTGGGATACATGTGTAGGACGTGCAGGTTTGCTACATAGGTTTACATGTACCGTAGTGGTTTGCTGCATCTATCAACCTGTCATCTAGATTTTAAGCCCCTCAAGCATTAGCTATTTGTCCTGATGCTTTCCCTCCCCTCAGTCCCTCTCCCCTCCCTGACAGGCCCCGGTGTGTGTTATTCCCCTCCCTGTGTCCATGTGTTCTCATTGTTTAGCTCCCACTTATGAGTGAGAACATGCAGTGTTTGGTTTTCTGTTCCTGTGTGAGTTTGCTGAGGACGATGGCTTCCAGCTTCATCCATGTCCCTGCAAAGGACATGATCTCATTCCTTTTTGTGGCTGCATAGTATTCCATGGTGTATATGTGCCACATTTTCTTTATCCAGTCTATCATTGATGGGCATTTGGGTTGGTTCCTTGTCTTTGCTATTGTAAGTAGTGGTGCAATAAACATATGTGTGCATGTATCTTTATGGACTAGTTTTTTCATAGAGTCCTCTCTTTAAAAAAAAAAAAAAAAAAGCTTTATTGAGGTATAATTCACATACCATACAATTTACCCATTTAAATTTGAAGTATGTAATTCAATTATAATTAGTATATTTACAGATATGTGCAATTGTATGTGTGTGTGTGTACACATTGCCGTGGTCTGAATGTATCACCCAAAATTCATGTGTTGAATCCTAATGGCCAATGTGATGGTATAAAGAGGTGGGGCTTTTAGGAAGTGTTTAAGTTGTAAGGGATTAGATAGATCCACATAGATGGGATTAGGGCCCTTTTAAAAGGGCCTGAGGGGGAATGGGTTTGCTCTCTTCTGCTCTTCCACCACATGAGGATACAGCATTTGTTCCCTTCTGGAGGGTGTGGCAACAAGGCACCATCTTGGAAGCAGAGAGACGCCCTCTCCAGATACTAAACCCCAGTGCCTTGATCTTGGACTTCCTCTCCTCCAGAACCATAAGAAATAAATTTCTATTATTTATAAATTACCTAACCTGTGGATTTTGTTATAGCAGCACAGACAGACAGAAATTGGTACTCAGAGTGGGGTGTTGTTATAGCAAATACTTAAAAGAAAAGTGGAATTGGGTAATGGATAGAGGATGGAACAGTTTGGAAGTGTTTGCTAGAAAAAGCCTGGATTTCTGTGAACAGAGCATTAAGAATGATTCTAGTGAGAGCCCAGAAGAAGAGGAGAGTCGTAGAGATAACCTATGTCTTCTTAGAAATTTCTAAGTGGTTGTGATCAGAATGCTGGTAGAATTATAGACAGTAAAGCCCATTCTGATGCAGTCATATATGGAAATGAATATCTTATTGGAAACTGAAGGACAGATAGTCCTTGCTACAAAGGGACAAAGAACTTGGCTGAATTGTGCCTATACTCTAGGGCTTTGGGGAAGGCAGAATTTAAGAGTGATAGGATATTTGGTGGAAGAAATCCCTGAGCATAGTGTTCAGTATGCTGCATGATTTCTCTTAATTGCTTACAGTAAAATGTGAGAGAAATGAATTGAAAATGGAATTTATAATCCAAAGGGAAGTAGAGACTGGGCACTATGGCTCATGCCTGTAATCCCAGCACTTGGGGAGGCCAGAGTGAGAGGATTGCTTAAGCTCAGGAGTTCAAGACCAGCCTGAGCAATATAATGAGACCTTATCTCTACTAAAAACAAAAATGTGCACTTAGCCCCAGCTACTCAAGGGGACTGAGGTGGGAGGATTGCTTAAGCCTGGGAGGTCAAGGCTACAGTGAGCCATTATTCTGCTGCTGCACTCCAGCCTGGGTGACAGAATGAGACCATTTCCAAAAAAAAAAAAAAAAGGAAGCAGAATGTAAGGATTTGGAAAATTTTTAGCTTGCTCAGGTTGTAAAAACATGTTTGGGAGAAAACACTAAGGGTGTGGCCAAGTGACCTTTTGATAAGGAGATTAGTATGGCTAGAAGGAAGCCAGATGCTATTCATCAAGATAATGGAAGAATGATCCTGAAGGCATTTCAGAGATTATCAGTGCTGCCCCTCCCATCAGAGGCCCAGAGTACCAAGGCCCAGGGAACAGAACTATGTCAAAGGAGAGGCCTTGGGCGCCTGCAGGACCTCAGCATTCACTGCCCAGCGTCACTTCTCTGCTCTCTGCATTACAGTGCAGCCCTCCTTGGATATCCCAGCTGTGGATCAAGGGGGCTCAAGTGCAGCTAGTCCCATTGCTCTGGAAGGCACAGGCCATAAGCCTAGGTGGCATCCACATGGTGCTAAGTCTGCAGATGTTCAGAGTGCAAGACCTGTGGATGCATGGCTACCTTCACCTAGATTTGAAAGGATGCCTCAGAAAGTCTTGGGCTCAGACAGAGAATTGCTGCAGGGTAGGTCTGCTGCAGACTCCTTGCTTGGATAATGCCTAATGAAGCCATAAGGGCAGGAGTGCCAAAAAGAGTCCCCACTAGGGCAATGCCCAGCAGAGTCTTGAGGTTGAGGGCACACCAGCGAGCTCCCACAAGGACAATGCCTAATGGAGCTGTGGGGGTGGGGCTGCCGCCGAGAGCCTGTAACTGTAGAGTTACCAGTGTGTAGTGCCAGCCTAGGAGAGCTGCAGGTACCCGACTGCAACCTATGAGAGCTGCTGTGAGGGCTGTGCCTCGCAGTTGGCGGCAGGGCTGCCCAGAGCCTTGGGAACCCAACTCCTGCCCCATTGTGTCTGGAAGGCAGGACGTGGAACCAAAGATTTATTCTCCAGCCTTAAGATTGATTTGATGCTTGTCCTGTTTGGTTTTGGATTTGGTTGGGAAATGTTACTTTTTTCTTTCCTATTTCTCCCTTTTGTAATGGGAATGTCTGTTCTTTGTCTGTCCCACAGTTTTTTTTTTTTTTTTTGGTGACAGGATCTTGCTCTGTCATTCAGGCTGGAGTACAGTGGCAACCTCTGCCTCTTGGGCTCAAGCTGTCTTCCCACTTCAGCCTGCTGAGTAGCTGGGACTACAGGCGTGTGCCATCACACGCAGCTAGTTTTTTCTTTTTTTTTTGTATTAGAGATGGAGTTTTGCCATGTTGCCCAGGCTGTTCTCAAACTCCTGGGCTCAAGAGATTCGGCCGCCTCAACCTCGCACTGTGCTGAGATTACAGGAGTGAGCCACTGCTGAAGTCTGAATGAAGTACTTTGCCTCAGGTTGAAACACATCTTTGAGTCTCACACATCTGATTTAGATGATATTTAGATGAAATTTTAGACTTCAAACTTCTGAATTGATGCTGGCATGAGATAAGACATTGGGGCTATTGGGATGGAATGAATGTATTTTGTATGTGAGAAGGACATAAATTTGGGGGACCTGGGGTGGAATGCCATGGTTTGAATGTTTGTGTCTCCTTATGGCCTTATCACCTCCCCAATGCAACTGTATTAAGAGGTGTGGCTTTTGGGAAGTGATAAGGTCGTGAGGGCTCCAGTCTCATGAATGGATTCTTGCTCCCATCAAAGGGCTGGAGAGAACTAGCTAGGATCCCTTTTTGCCCTTCTGCCTTCTGCCATGTGAGGGCACAGCAAGAAAGCCCTCACCAGACACCGAATGCTGGCACCTTGATCTTGAACTTCCCAGCTTCTAGAACTGTGAGAAATAGATTTTGTTCTTTATAAGTTATCTAGTCTCAAGTATTTTGTTATAACTGCAGAAATGAATAAACACACATACATTGTATATACAGTGTTCAATTAATGTATTCACAGGTATGTGCAACCACCTCCATAGTCAATTTTAGAACAAAAAGAGACCCTGCACCCTTTAGCTATTATACCCCCACTCCCTGCCATCCCATTGCTCCCCCTGCTTTCCCAACCCTAAGGAACTCTACTTTCTGTCTACATAGATTTCCCTGTGTGGGACATTTGATGTGAATGGAATCGTCTGTGGTTTTCGTTAGTGTCTTCTTTCACTTAGCATAATGTTTTCATGGTTAATCTATGTTGTAACATGCATTAGTACTTCATTCCTTTTTATGGCTGAATAATATTCACTTGTATGTGTAGTCCCAGCTACTCAGGAGGTTGAGGCAGGAGAATGGGGTTAACCTGGGAGGCGGAGCTTGCTGTGAGCCGAGATTGCGCCACTGCACTCCAGCCTGGGCAACTGAGTGAGAATTCATCTCAAAAAAACTAAAACTAAAACTAAAACTAAATAAATAAATAAATTTCCTTGTATGTATATACTACTTTTTGTTTATTCAACTGTTGATGGACATTTATGTTTCTACCTTTTGGGTATTGTGAATAATGCTTCTGTAAACATTGGTGTATAAGTATCTTTGAGTGCTTACTTTCCATGTTTTTGTATATAGGTCTAGATTATAATTGCTTCATTATACGGTAATTCTATGCTTTGCTTTTTGAGGAAGTGCCAAATTGTTTTCTAGAGCAGCTGCACCATTTTACATTCCCAATAATAACGCACAAGGGTTTCAGTTTCTCCACATTCTTGCCAACACTTGGCATTCTTTCCTTTCCTTTCCTTTCCTTTCCTTTCCTTTCCCCCTTCGCCTTCCCCTTCCCCTTCCTCTTCCTCTTCCCCTTCCCCCTCCCCCTCCCCTTCCCATTCCTTTCCTTATAGCTGTCCTAATAGGTGTGATATGGTTTGGCTGTGTCCCAAATCTCATCTTGAATTGTAGCTCCCATAATTCCCATATACTGCAGGAGGGACCTGGTGGGAGGTAATTGAATCATGGAGTTGGGTCTTTCCCATGCTATTCTAGTGATAGTGAATAAGTCTCATGAGATCTGATGGTTTTATAAAAGGGAGTTTCTCTGCACAAGTTCTCTTCTCTTGTCTGCCACCACGTGAGACATGCCTTTCACCTTCTGTCAGGATTTTGAGGCCTCCTAAGCCACGTGGAACTGCGAGTTCATTAAACTACTTTCTTTTGTAAATTGCCCAGTTCTCTGGTATGTCTTTATCAGCAGCATGAAAATATGGACTCATACAAGGCATCAGATTATAACTCACTGTGATTTTGATTTGCTTTTTGTTGTTGAGTTGTAGGAATTTGTATATTCTAGATATTAATACTCTGTCAGTTATATGATATGCAACTGTTTTGTCCCTTTCTGCAGGCTGTCTTTTCACTGTCTTCATAGTATCCTATGATGTGCAAAAGTTTTTAATTTTTGATGAAGTTCATTTATTTTTTTCTTTTGTTGCCTGTGCTATTGGTATCATATCTGAGTAGTCATTGTCAAATCCAATGTCAGCATAAAGATTTTTGCGTATGTTTTCTTCTAAGAGTTTAACAGAGATAATTTTATTTCTTCCTTTCCAGTTTGGATGGCTTTCATTTCTTTTTCTTACTTAATTGCTCTGGCTAGAGCTTCCACTACTGTGTTAAGTAGAAGTGACAAAAGCAAGAATTCTGTCTTGTTTCCACTCTTAGGGGAAAAGCTTTCACTATTTCACCATTGAGTATGATGTTTGCTGTGGAATTTATAACAGACGTTAACAGATATTTAATTTCCTTGCCTTGCTGGAGTGTTTCAGGAACGATTCTGTATTCTTTGACTGTCCTGGGACTCTTGGATCCAGAATGCAGTCTAGAAGCCCAGAACGAGTTGGCTGGGGAGTTGGGAGACACAGGTAACATGATTTTGTTCTATGTTATAGTGTGGTGTCAGTTCACCTTTCTTTCCAGACCTGGTGGCCATTTTGTAGTCTTGAGGGTTGCAGCAAAGGCCTTAGGTTTTGAGTGGTCTTTCAGAGGCAAGGATGGTTCTTATACCAAGGTTCTCACAACTTCACTCCCTTTTTGTCCCAAAATGATTGAGACCATAGGGTGGTCTTGAAGGAGGTCACCTGAATAGATCCACATCCCCATCCCAATTTCACTTCGCCTCTCGTACTTCAGTACCAGGTTTAGGGGACATGTGCCATTCAAGTTAGGTTGGCTTTGTAATGACTTTTCAGGGTGGATTTTGGCTTCATACAGGTAAGAACTTTCTACCTTTGTAATATCCTGACTCATGAGTTGAAACAATAGATATGATGAAGGCCCGTGCCCCATTTAGAAGAGTAAGTCTCACGTTGCCAGGTCAGAAATAGATCCTCTTTCCTCTTGTTAAGCGTCGTGCTGAATCCTGAGAGTGGTAATCCCGCAGTAGGCAGAGAGAGGAAGACGTTGCCCTGAAGCTGTGGGGAGGCCTGGGGTTCATTCCTACTGGGCTGAGGGTTCTGGTCTCTTCTACCAGTTTAAACAAAAGGGCACAGATAGCCAAGAGCAGTATCAATTGAGAGTAGCACGAATCCTGGGCGCCATTGTGTGCTGTTTAGTTTTGGCCCCTGTTTTAACACAGGGAGAGGGCAGATGGTGAAGCTCTGGCCACCTGTGAGTGTTGGCAACCCCAGGGGGGCAGTCCGTCCTGCTGGCTGTACTTTGCTTGAGAACTGGAAATACTGGACATATGACATTTTCCTTCTGACTCTCACCATTTGTGTGGCTTATGCAGGAGGCAGGGGAGGAACATTCTAAATGACCTGGAGTTATGCATCTTGCCAGAATCAACAAGCAGGACAAGCCTTTGGGCAGAACAGTTGAGCCACTTTTCAAAGGCAGTGACCCTCTGGTACCCCCTACTTCAAACTGGCTCTGGAGGAGTAGACTGTAGTGGAGTGGACTGGAATGGAATGCCCTGCTGATTGTGTGGAGCAGGGCTGAGTAGCACATGGTTTCTGGCCAGTGATGTTCATTTATGTGGCCAGGTCTCAAACTCAATATTGTTTTTAAGAAAATCTTTCTGAATGAAGAAGTCTCCATGGGCTCTTAGTCCATAAAAGCTAAGATTCTTTGCAGAGTTTCATTGGGCAGCAGTTCCATGTCTAGGGGTGGAGGTTCGGCTTCTGTCAGACTGTCCCACAGAGCACATTGAAGTCCTGGGTGCTGGGCAGGGCTGAAATTCCCAGGGGAGCACCCCCAGGGCTGGGTCCTAGGGCGCCTTGACACTGTTAAAAGTTACTGAAGGCCCCAAAGGGCTGTGGTTATGTGGCTGTGTATATTGAAATTTACTGTTTTAGGAATTGACAGGCATTTAAAAAATATTTCTCCATGTAAAAAGAATATTGTACCATTATATGTAAACATAACATCTTTTATGGAAAAAAGCTGTATTTTCAAAAAAAAAAAAAAAAATGAGAAGAGTGGCATTGTTTTGTACTTTCTAAATCCCTTTAATGTCTGCTTTAAGAGAAGGTAGTTGGATCTCCCTCCCATCCCCCCGCCATCTGCAATCAGTCACATGTCATGTGCCCTCTAGAAAACTCCGCTGTGCATTCGTGAGGGAATGCAAGGGACAAGGACACAAGGACACATCATATCTTACTATCTTGAAGATAATTTTGGCTTCACCGCTCCTGGAGGTCTTGCCATAGGGGTGAGGTCACTCATACCTGGGTACCACGTGAGAGGGTACCACAGGTGGAAGCACAGGTGTGGGGATTTAGGCAGAGACCTTGGAGGCCAGGGGCTGCAACACCCCCTCACTGAATTCAGATAGAGAGGTGCTTGGGAACCACCAGTTCCTCTGGTTGTTCTCTTGTGTCTGTTGTTTGAATCAGAAACTCAGCAGCTTAGGCCTCAGAGAGATCTTGAGGGTACTTGGTCCATAACTATTATGTGCCAAATGAGGGAACTTAGTTCTTCAGTCTTCTAGAATAATTTTATCCTTTTTTGTGTTAAAATGTGGATGCAGCCTGGAAGTGGTAATGCTAGATGCTGCATACCACCTTGATGGAACTAGATGAAGTGATTAACTTCAGTCACCCGAGTCTGGAAAGCCTGGGACCAGGCAGGGCAGCAGCATTTGAGGGACTTTTGGGAAGCTTGGCACAGCTTGAGTGTAGGAGCTGTGGTGCACAAGTACAGGCAACTGTCTCTCTGTCTCTTCCCCCAGTGTTTGTTGAGCCAATGTGATGTTCCCTGTCCTGTGTTGGCTGCCCAGGTAATATACGGCACTTTCTATCCTCAGGTCACCTTTACTGGGGGGCAGACTAAAGGTTTGTAAAAGAAACTGTGATACCAACGTCATTCGATGAGCCACCCAAGAGTGCCTTGGAACAAAGGAGTGTTAATTGACAGTGACTGGAGAATAAGAAGTGGTGGCTCTTTTACCTGATATGTAAAGGAGCTGAGGAGAGAAGGGTGTTGCAGAGGAAAGCAGGGGTCTCCATCCTCTTCCTCCCCACTGCTGTTGCAGGCTGACAGTCTTTGAGTACACACACAGATGTGGCTGTGTTGCACGCTGTCAGAGGACCTGTGAGTCCCACCACCTCCTGAAGCATAAAGGTCCTTAGTGTGGTGCTCAGAGACCCCTGACCATGGGGTGCAGGGTGCACAGAACTGGCCATGAGCTGACTTTGTAGAAGGGCAGCCTTGGAGGGAGGACGAGACAGTCATGAGAGTGGACCCATTTTCCTCTGTCAGGAGGGATGGGGGAAGTGAGGAGGACCTGATCTATATTTCCCAAGAGAAGCTACTTCAGTAGCTGAAGCAGGTGGTTTTGGCAAATATGAAGGACAGGTTTTTTCTTGGGTCCCAGGACTCGCTTTCCTCCTGGGAAGCTCGACCTCTTGTGTGGCTCCATGGCTCTGGTCAGATTCCTGACTACTTAGCATCACAACAGTGGAGGACAACGGAATTCTAAAAAGATTTAGAGGAAACTTAGTAACGTTTACAGGAGACACTTTGAAATTCGATTGTTGTGACTCTTTTAATGGCTCAGATTGCAGAGAGGAGGATAACTCGTGTAATGCAATGCTAAGAGTGGATTTTGATGGTGGAGCAAAGGAAGTTTGAATTAGCTTTGATTAGAATGTAGCCTCATCATGGGGACTCCATTCCCATGGGGAGTATTGGATGCTTTAAGATGGATTCCCCTGAGTTCAGAGGTGGGCATCAGAGTGATTTGCTTGCATACCAGTCGTGCCTGTGGTCCCGGGTAGCTTTCTGCTCATCAGCACAGTGAATGGGGCTCTGCTTTTCTCCCTTTGGCTTTGCCTCTGGTCCAAGAAGCCAACTTCCTGAAATAGAAAAGGAGAAGCTGTTCTTTGGCCAATGATTTGAGAATAGCTAGAACTAAAGTTACCAACTGTGGAGGGCGGTTCCCTGTGGGCCTCATCAACAGCTGAGGGCCCCCTTTCAGACACCTGTGAACAAGCTTCTCCAGAATCCTTGCATGCAGCTTTTGCAGAACTGCTAAAAGCAATGGTTGGTCATGCTTGCCACAAACTGCTTCTGTTGAGATCATCATTCTACGATCTTGACCAATGGGTGAGGTTTGGTTGCACTTTTGGCGTCTTGAATTCACAGACCTGTGGAAACCAGATTAGGGAGCATGTTGGAGGTAGCTCTGTAACTGACAATGCTAAGATTGAGAACATAGTGATCACATGCTAAGTGTGTATTGAGTGAATTAATGAAGGAATAATGGATTTCAGGACTAAGGGGAAACATAGAAAGAGGCGATTATAAAGGAAGTGAAAACAGGCCTCCCAGCTGACCGGAATGAACCCAGGGGTTTATGAAGGCCTTATTAGGGCAACTGAAGTCTTAATTTGGGAATTGAAGGAGGTAGCAATGGAGTCTTAAACTTTTCTACTCAAATTACAAGAGCCAGGTAAAAAGAGAATTAGTGCAGAATCTGGTATTTGAGCTTCCCGCATTGATTTTTCTAAATTATTTGCCAAATTACAGGTTGTTTACTTTCTTTGGCTAAAGCACCGTTCAGGGTTTGCCTTTGTCATTGCACAGTTTGTCCCTAGGTCATGGGAGCTGAGGCTGTGTGTAGGTGGCTGCAGGCCTGAGAGGTGTCAATGATGGGGTGGAGCCGGGGGTGTTGGGAGAGGTTTGAGCAGACCCAGCTGGGCAGCACCATAGGGATGCTGGGTTGGTATTTTTGGGAAGGAGAATGCTGAGCTCTTACTCAGAAATCCAGTGTAGGAGGCAGATGATCTCCTGAAGCCCTCTGCACAGAAAAGGAACCGGCTTTGGAGAGCATCATGGGTTTCTGCTGCTTCCTCAACTGGTCTCCCCAGTTCCAGGAAGGCAGAACAGGTCATTGAGAGGCACAGCTTGGGCTTCTGGATCGTGACACAGGAGCAAAGTGGTGGATGGGTCATGTCTGTGAACAACGAGGTGTGAGCAGCCCAGTATAGGGCACAGGGTCCCCAACATGGTGGGTCTAGTGGCTCACTGCTAGGTCTGATTTAAGAAAGATACCTGGATAGGGCGATGTAAAAACCGTCTCTGGGTCCCCAACGAAGGGTTGGGAGCTGAGTTGTACCTGCAGCTGGTCGGGAGCCGCAGGAACTCTCATACGTATGGAGGGAGGGTATGGCATGGGGGCTGCCACACTGTGACTCAAGAGCGTGATGGGTGGATGTGGGCCTCAAAGTGGGCCAGCTCTGCCTAGACCAGAGCTTTGTGCTTCCTGCGGAGCATCCCTGGAGTCCGTGTGACTGTGTGGCCAGAGAGCATGGTCTTGGGGCAGGCAGATGACAAGAGGCCGCACCAGAATGGAAGTCATCTGCATTTGGAGGCAGGAAGCAACACAGAACTCTCCCTGCAGTTGGTAAGCCTACTCTTAAGGTGTCCCATGCTTCCCTGCACCTGCCTGTCCTATACCTTCTGGATCCAGGTGTCCTTTTGGAACTGGATGATCAGGAGCCAGAGGGGCCGGCATTCTGGTACTCGTGCCTTGTGCATCTGGGTGGGCATTCTGGTACTCCTGCTTTGGACTTCCCGGTGGCCAGGCAGTGGGTACCTGGGAGGATGTTGCACCAGTCTGTGCGGGAGACCAAGAGAACTAAATACAGGAGATCATGCACACTCATTAAAAAACAATACTGCAGAAAAGTTAGATTACATTGCTAGATAAAGTTATTTTTAATATGTCCATACCCCGTGTCAGTTTTCAATCTCGTGCGACCTGCCTACTGTATGATAGTGATGCATTTCAGAGCCATTAATCATTGTTTACCAACCTTTCCTGTCGTAGGAACCCTGTGTCTATTGTCTTTGCTAAATTCTTGATTTTCTGAGTTGAGGATTGGTTTTCCTTATACTTGTTTATATAGATGTTGCCCTGAAAATGTAAAACACACAGTAGTTACTTACTGAATATACTAGTGATATAGAGAATGAAAAGATGTCATCATCTTTAGAATAGAATGCCAGGCCCTCCTGGGCTCTGGGGTGTGTGCTGGTGATGGGCTAATGTTGATAACTGGCTGTTTGGGGGTGACGATAAAGCATCCAAAGCACATTGACTGTTTCCCCACAGCTTTCTTCATTGAGGAGAGGAGAGATCTTAATCAACTGTGCACGCCTCTTCACTCCAAACTATTACTCCTCGCATAGTTTTAACGATTACGATTACATTATGTTTCCTCCACAAGCAAGAATGTCTTTCCTCTTTACTTTTGAGGTGTATCTTTTTTTCTTTAACTCCTTTTTTTTTTTTTAAACTCCTTTAACTTTTTAAAAACCTGCTTTAAGGGAGGAAGAAAAGGAAAAGAACGGAAGAAAAAGAAAAGGAAATAGAAGGGCAAAGTCCTTCAGTATTTCCAGAAGCTGCCTGTATAGAAGAAAAAGGCCTGTGCAGTTAATACTCATGTGACTTGGCCTCAAGCACTTAATAGCCTCATTGTGTTTAGGTATAGAGCAGTGATTTCTCTGGAATTCCTAGAAAGGGAGGGGGAGCCCTCCACAAGGACAGAGGGGGATCACAAGGGACCCTGAGTGTAGGTTTTTGTGTGAGGAGAAGCATATAGGACCCTTGGCCTGAAACTGGATGAAAACATTCTTTCTTAGATACATTTTAAAGTTTTAAAGTTGCATGAGTAATTTGTGATCTTTATTTTAAATAGTCAAACCCAGAAGTCGGTAGAGAGTGAAATTCCCACTTCACTTCTCATGGCCCTCCTTCGAGGTCGATGTTTAGGGTTCTTTTGGCTCTTTTGTTCTGTGGAATTAACTAATTACTTTTTTATTGATGCATAATAGATAAACACAGTTTCAAGGTACATGAGGTAATTTAATGCATTCATGTAATTCTAAAGGTCAAATCAGTGTATTTGACATACTCACCACCTTAAATATTTGTCTTAACTTTAGAAACATTCCAATTCTTCTCTTCTTACTATTTTGAAGTGTACAATATTGTAGACTGTAGTCACTTCATTGATTTATTTAATTAAGTGTACTTATTTCAAGAATGAGCAGAAATAAGGCCTAGTATTACATAAATCAATAAGGTGACCATGTATTTGTACCCATTAATCAACTTTTTTTAATCTTCCATACCCCCTACTCTTCCCAGTCTCTGGTAACCACCAATCTACTCTCTGTCTTCATGAGATCTGCTTTATCGCTTGCACATGAGTGAGAACGTGTCATGTGTCTTTCTATGCCGGGCTTATTTCACTTAACATAATGTCTTCCATGTTAATGCATGCTGTTGCAAATGATAGAATTTCACTCCTTTTTTCTGGTTGAATAGCACTCCACTGTGTATATGTACTACCTTTTTTTAATGAGTTCGTTGTTGTTGGACACTTAGATTGATTCTATATCTTGGCTATTGTGAATAATGCTGCAGTAAACATGGGAGTGCAGATGTCTTTTTGATACAGATCCTTTCTTTTGGGTATATACCCAGCAGTGGAATTGCTGGATCATATGATAGTTCTATTTCTAGTTTTCTGTGGAACCTCCATATTGTTCTCCGTAGGGGCTGCACTAATTTACATTCCCACCAACAGAGTACAAGGGGTCCCCTTTGGTACATTCTCCCCAGTATCCATTATTCCCTTTTTGATAATAGTCATTTTAACTGGGGTGAGATGATATCTTGTTGTGGTTTTGATTTGTATTTCCCTGATAAATATTAGTGTTGTGCATTTTTTGGAAACACCTGTTGGCTATTTGTATGTCTTCTTTTAGAGATGTCTGTTCACGTTTTGCCCATTTTTAAAATCGGATTGCTTGTTTTTTTGCTGTGGAATTGTTTGAACTCCTTATATATTCTGGTTATTAATCTCTTGTCAGATGAGTAGTTTGCAAATAGTTTCATTTTCTCTGTTTGAAATTCCTGGGTGCAGACACGCACAGATAGGCTGCTTTCCCCTTTTTATGGCAGTGTTGCCTATTCCTAGTGCTTAGCTCTTTGCCTTTTTTATTAAATACTTGCCTTCTGTGAGTGCTGTGTGAAGCACTCTGTGGGAATTGCATCATTTCATGAGGTTGGTACTGTTTTGTTCTCAGTTTACAGTTGAGGAAATTGAGGCAGAGAGTGGCTGAGCGCTTGTGCAGGCTGCCCCCACCCCAGCTGGTGCAGGCTGGGTTCTGAGCCACTTTCACAGCCGCCTCCCACAGACCAGAGCGCATGTCCCCGTGGCTCCTTTAGAGCTTTTGCATGCCTTCCAGGCTGCTTCCCATGCTGGAGGAGTACTGTGCTCTACTATATTTAAGTCGGCTCCTGTCCAGACATTTTTTCCATGAGTTCAGCAAAGATTTGAGCCACTTGGCCCTGTGCTAAGAGATGGGATACAGCAGTAATCAGGACAGATAGGGTCCTCGGCCTCAGAGCTACCTCTTCTTGGGGAAAGGACACAAAAAACATTGGCAGGAAGAAGAACAGAACTAGCAAGCCTGATGTGTTCTGCAGAAGAAGAGGCAGCCAAGGGCTGAGCTATAGACCTGTGTGGAGAGAGTCTGGAGTGGGCCAGGCGGCCTGATACCTCAGGGTGGACAGGGCAGGACAGGGTGGATGGGGAGCCTTGATGCTCTGCGGAGGCTACCAGCAGGGGAAGGTGGAAGGCGACCCGGGCCGCGGGTGTTTGAAAAAATTCCAAATACAAGGCAGAGAGCATGCAGAGGCCATGAGGGAGGATAGAGTCTGAGAACCTGGAGGAGGCCAGGCTGGTGAGCGAGGTGACTCCAGCATGGGACAGCGGTGTCTGGGCAGCCTGGAGAGGAGGCAGGAGCCACACGGGTCAGGCCTGGCAGCTGTCACTGAAAAGTTGGGTGCATTTGAAGTACAGAGGGCAATGGTGTCATCTCAAGGGCTCCCCAGAGCTAGGGCTGGTTAAATGGGGAGCAGTGAGGATGCTTAGAGACAGGGCAGCTGAGTCCCAGTTCAGATGAGGGGCAAAGGCCTGGAGTTGGCAGCAGAGATGGAAGGGAGTGGATGGCCCTCAGATGCTTCTGCAGCCAATGAGCTGGGCTAGCAGATTGCATGGACGGAAGGCAGAAGAGAAAGTTGGGAATGGAGAACTCTTGTTTCTGCCTTGTACAGTTTGGTGGGTGCCATGAACTGGGGGAGAGGAGGGATTTGTGCAGGCACATTTAGGTTGCTTCCAGTTTTTCTGTATTAAAGTGTGTAGTAGTCATTCCGTGTGTGTATGTACACGTGTGCATGCATGTGAGTCTTTCTGTAGGATAAGCTATTCCAAGTAGGATGCCTGTGCCTAAGACAAAAGTCTGAAAACTGCTGCCCCCGCTCCAGCAGGCCTCCCCATGCCTGTACAGTGTGATCCCACCTCTGGTTTAGGGGAACCCTGTTGTTGTTCAGGCCATCCTCAACTCTGGGTAGTCCCAGTCCTTTTAATTTTCAACTATTGATTATAGCTCATGTGTTTGTTTGTCTATGTCTCCCTGGTTCCTAGTGAAGTTTAGCGTGTTTCACATGTCTGTTTTGCAAATTGTTTGTTTCTATCCTCTCCCCATTTTTATGTTGGGCTGCTTGTCTCCTATCTCTTATTTCAGTAAAGAAGAGATTAAATGCAGATTGTTGGCTGCATGGTAATGGAAATATTTTGTCCCAAGGCTTTTTGCCTGTCTTTTGATTTGTGTATAGGGTCTTTTGATGAACAGAAGTTAGTTTTTCCTTCATGGCTTCTAGGTTAAGAATCTTGCTTGTGAAGATCTTCCTCACTCAGATTTTATAACATTATTCTTCTGTACTATCTCTTAGTAGTTCTTGTAATGTTTAAGGCACATATGGGAGGTGAGGATATGACCGTTGGATCTTAGTGAGCATAAGCTGCCAGCTATCCATGATCTTATTTTTAATTTATGTGTCATCATTCACCTCTGGCTGCATTCTCTTACCGTATTCTGTGGATGGACATGTCTGTTCCTGTATCTGTAAATCAGCAAGCTGAGTTCCTTGAAGACAGAGCCTTCCTTGGGATGATTTTGCTTTAACTCACTGATGTGGAGGTGGAGTGGCCGTCAGCAATGTGAGGGCTTCCCTTTAAAGAAGGTGGTGTTTTTCTAACCCTTCTGATCTTCTTTTGGATTCCTCAAAGATTTTTTATTTTCTTCAAAGGGTCTCATGTATATTCTTAAGTGTGTTGTTTTGATTGCTTCTGCGAATTAAATAATTTTCACCATTAGACTTCCTAGGTGTCGTGGAGCTGCTGTGCAGAAGGGCTGGGGAGGGTTTGTAGCTTGCTCTGGGATCTCAATCCTATTAAACGTTCAGATCAGTTCTAATTATTTTTCAGTGCATGATCTTACATTTCATCTGTAAATAGTGACAGTGTATTAGTCTGTTCTTGCACTGCT